GGGTGCCGTCGGCCAAGCAATGTCGGCTGGCGACCCCCAGGGGGAGGGCCTTCTCTGTGGGTGCCCCTACCCTCTGGAATGAACTACCCCCCGAGATTCGGATGATTCCGGATCTCCTTACCTTCCGTCGCGCCCTCAAGACATGGCTCTTTCAGCAAGCAGACCTGACCTAGGGAGGATTTTATACTGGGTTCATTTTAAGGAATTTGGAAGACACAACTCTAAAATTCGGTTTAATTCGGTTTTACAAGGGGGGATTGTATATATGTTTTTGTTTTAAATATGTTGTGCGCCGCCCTGAGTCCCGCTGGGAGAAGGGCGGCATATAAATTAAATTAAATAAATAAATAAATAAAATGCTGCATGGAGAGACTGTTCGGCAACCTTCAGAATTCAGGCTCTAGTTATTTAAAAATTTAAAAATACGTATTTTCCTTAGATTTCAATGAAGGTCTATAAGTTTATAGAAAACCTATAGCAGGAAATACAAATAATTGCAGATGTGGTTGTGGATGGTCTTTGGATATTCACTCTTTGCTGGGGATGTGGGAAGGATTAAGCTCCCCTCTGTTGTTCATTTTCTGAATTTAAATTCTTTTTGTAATGTCTAAACAGAGCTTTATTTCTTATTTTTCCCTATCCATTCCCCTGTTCCTTTCACCTTACTGCCATCCAGTTTTGTTCTTCACAAAAAATTCTTTGTACAAATTTTTGGGGAGAATTTTGATCTACAAAACTTGTTTTCAAAATAGTTAAAAATATGCTCTGAACTTACATAAATGGTGGCTGATTTCATAATTGAGGCAGGATTGGCCTTAGTGGTATTTAGATCTGGAAATTCCAGGATTGTTGGCTTGACTGGAGAATTGAAAGATACTCTGGAAGAAGGCAATAGTAAAATGCTTCAATAACACTTTCAAAAAAGATGAATGGATGTGTCAAGATTAATTTGATAAATATTATGGTTTATGCTCTGGGAATAACAGAAAATTTCCCCCAAAATAATTTCTTTAGAAAAAAATCCATGTTTATTATTGAAAAACATTCTAGACAAAGTACATTTCTGAATATGCGAAATAGTCATATTTTATATTATTTACCATATAAGCCAAGTGGGCTGCCAAGATTTTGAAAAATGCTTACATGCCACAATCTGCCATGTGAGAGTTTAAATGTATGTTTCAATTTCTTTTTCTCTAATGGGTTTGTATTAACTTACTTTAAATAATAGGGTCTGTATGAAAGAGAATTAACAGTTGTGAAAAGGTGCTGATCCACTGTGTTGTTTGTTCTTTAAACTCTCTTCAAAGGAAATTAGTTGTGTATTTACATGTATTTTATTTTATACTAGCTGTACCCGGCCACGCGTTGCTGTGGCTCAGTCTGGTAAAAGCGTGTGTTGCTTTTACGTCCAACAGATGGCGCTGTTTTTCAAAAAAACCATGTTTTTACCTGTCACAGGTGTGACATCTATATAATATAGGTATATAAAAACACGCGTGTATTCGAATGCAACGTTGTGTCAAAATTTTAAAGCAATCGGTGAAGAACTTTCGGAGATTTAAGATTTTGAACAAACGAACATTTACATTTTTATTTATATAGATAGATATTTAAAAGACTATATTTAAATGCTGTACTTTTAATTTTTACAGGTTATGATGAATGAAACAGCTCAGCAGAACATGGAGAACCATCCAGTTATTAGGACTCTTTACGATCATGTAGATGAGGTCACCTGTTTAGCTTTTCATCCAAATGAACAAATCCTTGCATCTGGATCAAGAGACTACACTCTGAAATTATTTGACTATTCAAAACCATCTGCCAAGAGAGCTTTCAAATATATTCAGGTCAGGTTCTCTGATCACACATTTCTAAGGAATATCATCATAAGAAAAGATTTGTCTTGCTGGTGTTACCGAATATAATTTTTAGGTAGAAGGACATAAATCATACTTGATGTAGCTTTTCAGACAGTTTTTTAGTTCTTAAATTATGGGTCAAGCATAATAAGTTTTTTTTTCTATGTAGTTTATTTTAAATACTTGGAACATTGAAAATGAATGAGTACAAAACAATGAGATAGTTGGCAAAGACTATAATATAATGTTTTTCTGTCAAACTTTTTTTTCTATTGAAAGCTCATCATTATCATCCCAAGCTGCTTGGTGGCAAAATGTGTGTTTTCTATAATCATACCCTTTTGTTTAAAATCTTAAAAATGTTTTAAAAAAAATAATAGTCATGCATTTTTAGGGAGAAAAATAAGTTTCTCTCCCCCCCTCCTTTTTTTTTTCAAATCTCTATCAAATGTATACTTGTACTTGTTCACACTCTGTCTTATATTCTGTCTGACCTGTTCAGATAGCAATGTCCTTCTCTGGATATGAATTCATTTTATAATAGTGGTTGATATCTAGATATGTTGCAGTTATAGGATAGTACACTCTAATGTTCATTGTTTGATTTCCAATTAAACAGGAAGCAGAAATGCTGCGCTCTATATCTTTCCATCCTTCTGGGGATTTCATACTTGTTGGGACACAGCATCCTACCCTGCGGCTCTATGATGTTAATACTTTTCAGTGCTTTGTATCTTGCAATCCTCAAGATCAACATACAGATGCTATATGCTCAGTTAATTACAATGCAAGTGCTAACATGTATGTAACAGGCAGCAAAGATGGATGCATCAAATTGTGGGATGGAGTTTCAAATCGTTGTATCACCACTTTTGAGAAGGCACATGATGGCGCTGAAGTCTGTTCTGCCATTTTCTCTAAGAACTCCAAGTACATACTTTCAAGTGGAAAGGATTCTGTGGCTAAACTGTGGGAGATATCAACAGGGAGGACACTAGTCAAATATACAGGTGGGTGAAAACTAATCTGAACAATATAATCTGACTTTCTCTGCTTTGGCTTTTGTAGTGAATCCTGTAGGTAGTTGTGTTAAGCTACGTGTATTCATGGGCATACATGGATTTTAGAAATGCACAATACAAAACTTGTTAGGTAATCACAATTTTTCACATGCCTGATAAGTATAAGTCATGGGTGTCAAATTTGATCACATCATGTGACATATTGTGACAGTTTTTGCCTTTGCAGAGCTGGGGTGGGTGTTGCCTGTGCGTGACGCATCTGACACTCCTGGTGTAAATTACTTTGTGAATCTGGATCACTTTGTTTTACCTCAGAAGAAAGTATGTACTTTCTTTGTTTATCCTAAGTAACTGAATGGTCTATAGTCTAAAAAATATTTTATAATTGACTTCAACCTGCTAGGAGCGTACTTTGTACTTCTGAATTGCTATTTCTGTAGATAGCAGATGTTTTTAAGAGAAATTCCTGAGCAGGTTCCTGCATTAACACATGTGTTTCAAGTAATACTTGGTATTAAAATGAGGTTGCTTCTTCATAGAGTCTGTCATCAAATGCAGCACAAAATGTAAACTTGGAATTTCTCTCAATGTTTTTTTTCCTCCCTTCACCTTCAGTGTGAAATATTTTTAAGCAGTGTAAAACTCCTAAAAGAATAACTAAAAAACATTTAAACAGATCCATCTTCTGCAATTATCCTGTTTCATGTTTCAGTTTATAATATATCAAGCCAGCAGGGTGCAGCCAAAACTTAACATGCTGAATTGTTGTGTGTACTATACTTCTTTAACAAATAAAACTGGAGAACTTTCATTACTACACATGCTGTAATTACAACTGATGCAGAAAAACCAACTTCCTAACACAAGATGCATAACAAAAACTACAATACCTCATTCTAAATCCACTCTCACTAGGGTTAAACTGGGTCTAAGGCCACCCCAGTACACGTTGGCATGAATTGAGTGGAAACCACTGTCCCCCCAATCCAGAAAAAATATTTGTAGGCATTAGTATTGTAAGTTTAGGAAATATATACTGCTCTCGCTCTCTCTTTCCCATCTCATATTGTATATATTCATGGGTTTCACAGGGCTTTTTTGTACAGATAACCATAGCAATCTATTTAAAAAAAAATCAGATATAGATGAAAGATAGCATATAGTCTTTCCTTAACAATACCAATTTCCTTAATCAGTAAAAACAAAATCCAGATTCTGGCTATTTTTAAAAAACTAAGTCAATATGTTATCCTTCTTATACCCTTGTATTATCATCTTTTGGGAGTTAAGCTATAGCTTGAATGGCCGAGTTTCATTCTACTCTTGAAATAACAGCTGGCTTGAAATTATAGCAGTTCTTCATTGTTTGTGATAAATGATTATAATAGAGGAAATTCACATCCTTTTACACTCAGGAGAAAGTTTGAAAGATAAGTTGAGCTTGACTGCTGATAACTTCATTTGATACGTCAAGATAGTTTTCATGGCAGCAATAGATAAGTTGCTTCTTGATTATTATGTCAGTCTCCCAGCCCAGGCCTACAACTTTAGTCAGTGGTGGGATTCAAATATGTGAACAACCGGTTCTCTGTGTGGATGCCGCTTCTGGAAGTCTGTTCTGGGCCTGGGCAACAAAAATTAGCTACCTGTTCTGCCGAAGTGGTGCGAACTGGCTGAATCCCACCACTGACTTTAGTATTTAGTAAAATCTTCCAATCAGATACCATCCAGGCCTGATTCTGCTAAGCTTCTGGGTTCAGAGAAGGTCATGTGAGAAATAAAGTCCTATTTTCAAGTCCTGTGAATTTGGAGGAGCAAATACTCTACACCAGGGGTAGTCAACCTTGGCTCTTTTATGACTCGTGGACTTCAACTCCCAGAATTCCTGAGCCAGCTATGCTGGCTCAGGAATTCTGGGAGTTGAAGTCCACGAGTCATAAAAGAGCCAAGGTTGACTACCCCTGCTCTACACTAAAGAATATGAACTAGTCTGGACTTTGGGAAACACTGAGGATTTTCTTTTCTGTGAATATTCTTGCTGACCTTACTAATGAGTATGTTGCCCATTGATAGGAGATTTGACATTCTTATTGTTGGGCTTTAATACTTAAAAATATTGAATCCACCCGGCAAAGGATGGAATATGTGAGTGAATACCATGTAATTAATTGTATACAATATGCTGTTAAACCTACAGGAGCTGGCCTGAGTGGACGCCAGGTTCATAGGACACAGGCTGTTTTTAATCACACCGAAGACTATGTGCTCCTTCCAGATGAAAGGACCATTAGCCTTTGCTGCTGGGATTCACGAACAGCGGAACGAAGAAATCTTCTTTCCTTGGGGCATAATAGCATCGTTCGCTGCATTGTCCATTCGCCGACAAATCCTGGGTTTATGACTTGCAGCGATGACTATAGAGCTCGATTTTGGTACCGAAGATCAACCACAGATTAAAACAGCAGTTCTGAAACCATTTGCTCAAATTTTATTGCCATTTTCTTTTACAAATAAGTCTGTTTTTATTATGATTTATTTAAGAAGTTTGAAAATGGATCACCTGTAAGAAAGAAAAAAGCCCAATACCTTAAGGGTATTTTTAAAGTTATGGTCTTATATATGTTTTTTTTAAAAAAGAACCCGTAAACTTACCGTAATTTTTTTCTTAAGTGTACAAGTCTGCCCATTTTTACTACTTAAAAATCTTTTGTTTTTGTGTTTTTAACAAAACATTTAATATTCTTGATTTCCTTGGATATACAAATAATGGCCTAGTTCTGACTTGTAATTTTGTACTGTACTTTAATGTTTTATTATTCTTTAGATGATTTACCTCTGCTAGCCTATAGTTCTCTTATTAAAACTGATTCTTACAGCAGTGTGTCTTTGTTTTCTTAGAATTAACCATTTCCTGTTTCTGCATCATAATCCCAAATAAGGAACACATGTTATGACTACAAAATACATCTAAGAAGTTTTGGTTAATCACGTGCCTTCTCTGAGCTAAGAATGGTTTGAAGGTGACATTTCATCACTAAGCTATACATAACAGACAAACTGCAAATTGGAATTTAATCTGTTCTAAGACTTGAAATGGATAATATGCTAGGAAAAACAGTACAGATAATTACAATGTATTACAACAAGTTCATCTTCATCCCCATTTACAGATAAGCTGTTCAGACATACTCTTAAATATTCAGCCAATATAATTTATTTTCCAGACTGAATTTTCACATAGTCAAGGCATTTTCCTTGTGTCAACTGAGAAATAATGTTTGTATGGGATGAAATTTTGCTCAAGAGTACCCTAGGACATAGTTTAGTAAGCTGCAAATAGTTGGATTTGAACAATAAAACATTTTATAAACCACAATGGCTAAGTTCACACAAGGTGCTAAATTATACAGTTGGCTTAGTGCAAAATAGCAAATTTGAAAATGAGCAGTGATACCGCACCAATACTCCTCTCAACTTCCGAAAGCCTTGCTTTTAAAACGGTCTTGACAAAAGTAATTTTATTCCTGAGAAGCATTAAAACAGACTTATTTCTAACAGGAAGTAAGCCTGTTGAATGTTGTGTAAACAATTCAGAAAGAGGAAGGGACTGTCAGATCTACTGATATTTGGGGTTACAGTTCTCACACTTGGGATTAGAACTGACACACATTTAACGATTGCTATCTAGTTCTAATGGGAGTTGGAGATTGTCTACCTTCAGATGGTTGCGTTCGCATGAATTTGAACCACAAGCCAGCCATATTTTAGCTTAGTGGGCTGTTCAAAAGCAGGTTGTCCTCGACTTAACAGTTCATTTAGTGACCATTCAAAGTTATAACAGCACTGAAAAACGTGACTTATGACCATTTTTCATGGTTACCACCTTTGCAGCATCCCCATGATCATGTGATCAGATGCTTGGCAACTGATTTGTAGTTATGACCGTTGCTGTGTCCCAAGGTCATGTGAAACCCAGATTCACTTAGCAAGCATGCTACTAACTTAACTGCAGTGATTGACTTAACAGCTGTGGCGAGAAAGGTCATAAAATGGGGCAAAACTCACTTAACAAATGTCTCAACAACAGAAATGTTGGACTCAGTTGTGGTTGTAAGTCAAGGACTACCTGTATTTCATCATTTCATGAAAACCAGGAAAAGTGTTGAGTAAACCAGGATTAAGCTAATGTACTGCAACAAGAAGAAGCAATACCCTCTAGATCAGGGGTAGTCAACCTTGGCTCTTTTATGACTCGTGGACTTCAACTCCCAGAATTCCTGAGCCAGCACAGCTGGCTCAGGAATTCTGGGAGTTGAAGTCCACGAGTCATAAAAGAGCCAAGGTTGACTACCCCTGCTCTAGATGCTTTTTCCCCCCATTGGAGAGAATTTTAAATTGGACATAGCTGAAGCAAGGGACTGAGCAATGGCAATAGTGTCCAAACTGAGGCCCATTTAGAGGCATCTTATTCAAGGGCCACCGGGCCGGGAACTGGCTGTCCCCAAAAATCCGACTAGGCCAGACATGCCAAACTTGCGACGTCACGTGACATCGTGCAACGTATCGGGACGGTTTTGCCATTGCCGGCAATGGGGTGGGCGCGGCTTCCAGATGACGCGTCCGGCCCACGGGTCGGCAGTTTGACACCTCTGGACTAGGCACCTAAGAGTGAATAACGATCAGGAAATAATATTTACTAATTTAATATCAAGAAAGTGAGTGAAGCAGAAGAGACAAATGCATGGCTCAGCAGCCATTTCTAAACCCCCTTTGTTCCAGAAACAGTTCTAGGTGACAGCTCTAAGTGCCCCTGTCGGGTATAAATTAAAGATGAGGAGGGGACCATCTGCAGCTGATTTACTTTCATTTTACCTGCTTACTCTTATTTTCAGCATGTACCCAGCAGATGTGGAGGCAGAGAGAAAAAAAAAAGCCTAAGGAAAAATAAACCATAGATTGAGATAAAAGGGGTGGGGAAAGTTAACAATGCGATTAATAATTAAACAAATGTGATACACAATCGTACCCTCCATTTCCACCGTTCAAGCCCAAGTGTATGAGAGAGAGGGATCAGCTGCCCTGGGAGAACTGTGAGCTTTACAGAATATTTGGAGGGGAACTGGCCAGAAGGGGAAAGATTTGATGGAGCCTGTGGGAATTGGCTTGAAGCTCTTCTTGATTGATCATCCACTCTTGGCCTTGTCTCAGTAAGACTGGCTTGGTGGTAGAGGATGACTTTGTAGTCTGGGGTGGGTAATGCAAAAGCAATTGCCACATGCTGCACTCCTTCGCAGATTCGGATGAGATTAGTGAATTTACTACAACGTTTATTGAGAAAACTGCAGACAAGTAGACTGTTATAATATGGCTGAGTTCCTATGTCATAGAATTAAAGCACAGTTCAGGAAAAAAAAACCCAAAGGAGATATTAGTAGATGGTTTATCAGACCAGATAAGTTGTCATTCTGTTCTTGGAAAAGGTTGCACTCATTCTAAAGGGTCAAATTAATACTCTAAGAATTTTATAGTACTGCTTTATACTACACTAGTAAGACCACACTTAGAATACTGTGTGCAGTTCCAGTCATCACAATGCAAAAAAGATGTTGAGACTTTAGAGAAGAGCAACAAAGATGATTAGGGGACTGGAGGCTAAACCATATGAAGAACATTTGCGGGAACTAGGTATGTCTAGTCTAACAAAGAGAAGGACTGGGGGGCGGGGGACATGATAGCAATCTTCCAATGGTTGCCTCTTCAAATGGAACAGCTTGCCTCTGCAAGCTGTGGGTACTCTATTGCTGGAGGTTTTCAAAAATAGATTGGACAAGCATTTATCTGGAATGGTATAGGGCAGTGGTGGCGAACCTATGGCACATGTGCCAGAGGCGGCACTCGGAGCCCTCTCTGTGAGCATGCGCGCCTTCGCTATAGCCCCACCTCCCCCCATGGCCCCCTCCTCACCAGCAGCCCCTCCAGAGGAGAGTCCCCCCAGGTGTGGCCCACACGGAGCAGCGCAGCCAAGAACATGGCAGCCAGGAAGCAGGGATAAGACTCCGCCCTCGCGCCCCGTCGTGTGCAGATGATGCTGCAGGGCACGGACAGAGGGCATGGCCACCATAGTGCTGCTGAGCTGCCTGGGCAATCTGTGGCGGGCCGTGGAGGTGGTGGGTGGCCCTNCAGGGGGCAGGGGTGGGGGCAGAGCAGGGGGCGGGAGGGAGCGGGGAGGTTTTGGGGCACTCGGTCTCTAAAAGGTTCGCCATCACTGGTATAGGGTCTCCTGCTCAAGCAGTGAGTTGGACTAGAAGACTTTCAAGTTCCCTTCCATCTCCGTTATTCTATGATTTTATCTCTGTCATTAAAAGCACATGTGCCTTTTCTGATACAAAAAGCTTTTTACAAGCAGTCCTACTTAAAAATACCTTCAGCAGGGCCTGATAACTTACCATTTAGATTACTGCAATGTATTCTGCATGGGGTTGCCCTTAATGACAATTCAACAGCTCCAGTTAGTATAAAATACAGAAGGAAAAGTACATTTTTATTTGCTAGATTTATACCTGTATTTCTGTCTAGGTAGAGTAGAGCAAGAAATCAACTCCACAGGAAGACTAAAACTACTTTTATTGTGATGGGCTATAATAACAGAATCTTTTAAGTCTGTGTCCTATTTATAGTTTCATAAATTAGCTTATTATAGTATTATACTTCTGGTTCAGTAAATTAGTGAGGTATCTTGTCTTTGTGGACTTAAAGTAAACTTTATATATCTCCATTAAGGTCATTTTCCTTATGTTCTACATTTTCTCTAGAACAGTATTTCTCAACCCCAACAAATTTAAGATGTGTCAACTTCAGCTTCCAGAATTCCTCAGACAGCTCCCCATTCAATTTTGGAAGCTGAGGTCCACACATCTTAAAGAGGTTGAGAAACTCTGTTTGAGAAGCTTATTACATGGGACCTTCACTTTATCTCTACAACAAACCTGCAGAGTACTTTGGACTGACTCAAATGAATTACCATGACTGAGCAGTGACTTAAATCTGTGCCTCCTTGCCCAACTCCTTAAGCATTACACCACTCACAAGCTCTTTAACTGGAACTAGATCTTTGATGAACTTTTTGCCTTTACAGTTTTACAGCTTCAGTCTTAATATCTAAAGCTGAGTTTTTTCAAACCTGGAAACTTTTAAAACCTGTGGACTTAATAGAATAACAGAATAACAGAGTTGGAAGGGACCTTGGAGGTCTTCTAGTCCAACCCCCTGCTCAGGCAGGAAACCCTATACCATTTCAGACAAATGGCTGTCCAGTCTCTTCTTAAAAACTTCCAGTGTTGGAGCATTCACAGCTTCTGGAGGCAAGTAGTTCCACTGATTAATTCTTCTAAAAGTCAGGAAATGTCTCCTTAGTTCTAGGTTGCTTCTCTCCTTTATTAGTTTCCATCTGTTGCTCTTTGTCCTGCCTTCAGGTGCTTTGGAGAATAGCTTGACTCCCTCTTCTTTGTGGCAACCCCTGAGATATTGGAACACTGCTATCATGTCACCCCTTATCCTTCTTTTCATTAAACTAGACATACCCAATTCCAGCAACCGTTCTTTATGTGTTTTAGCCTCCAGTCCCCTGATCATCTTTGTTGCTCTTCTCTGCACTCTTTCTAGAGTCTCAACATCTTTTTTACATCGTAATGACCAAAACTAGATGTAGTATTCCAAGTGTGACCTTACCAAGGCATTATAAAGTGATATTAACACTTCACCTGATCTTGATTCTATCCCTCTGTTAATGCAGCCTAGAACTGTGTTGGCTTTTTTGGCAGTTGTAGCACATTGCTGGCTCATATTTAAGTGATTGTCCACTAGGACTCCAAAAT